AAACATTGTCTTCGTAAGATTCAGCTGTAGTCCTACCTTTCCACACTCACGGTCAAAGTCGGCCAGCATTTGTGCCGCTTGGCTGATGTTTGGTGTTATTAAAACAATGTCATCAGCAAAGCGGAGGTGGTGTAGTTGCCGACCATCTATCTTCACTCCCATTCCTTCCCATTCCAGTCGTCGCATGATGTTCTCGAGGGTGGCACTGAAGAGTTTCGGTGAAATGGTATCACCCTGCCGCACCCCTCTCTTGACATCAACGATCACTTCTTTGTAGAATGGTGAGATCCTGGTAGTGAATCCGCAATACAGCTCACGGAGGATCCTGATGTATTGGGCTTGAATGCCCTGATTGGCTAGGGCTTCAATGACCGCTTCCGTCTCAACAGAATCAAAGGCCTTCTTTAAATCAATGAACGTTAAGCAGAGCGGCATCTTGAACTCCCGAGAAACCTCAATGAGCTTGGTTACCGTGTGGATATGGTCGATGGTGCTGAATCCTTTGCGGAACCCTGCTTGCTCGCATGGTTGTCCTTCATCTAGTGTTCTGCCAATCCTATTCAGGATGACTCGAGTGAACAGCTTGTAGATGACAGACAATAGGCAGATCGGGCGATAGTTGCCAATGTCATGGATGTCTCCCTTCTTGAACAGTAGTACGGTCCTGCTGGTTTTCCATTGGGACGGAACCTTGCATTCAGACAGGTAGCGAGTGAAGAGCCGAGCCAGTGTATTGATGAGTACTGTCGGCAGGTTCTTCAGGTGTTCAGGTCTGACCTTGTCTGGGCCGGGTGCTGTTTGCTTCTTTACCAACGAAATGGCGTGTCGGATTTTGGAAGGGAGAACGTTAGGAACGACATACCCATCCTGTGGAATTTGGTATGTCGGCAAGTGGACATGGCTATCGAAGAGATTTGAGTAGAAGTCATGGATAATCTTCTCCATTGCCGTTCTGGAGGATGTGATGGATCCATCAGGACGTCGGAGGGCAGTCATCTTGGTCTTATAGTTGGCGAAGGACAGGCGGGCGTTACGAATACTTTTCCCGGCTTCTGCCGCATCTACCAGTACTTCTGCTCTTCTCTCTTTGAGGTCTTCCTTGATCACATCTCTGCACTGCTTTGCAAGCTCGGACGTTAGCTTGCGGTTGCCTGAGGCATGCGCCAAACCACGCTGGCGAATTAGCTCAAGAGTTTTCGAAGATAGGCGACTTTTTGTGGCTATCTCTCTCTTGGCGTTCCTCGCACATTCATGGAGGTGCTGAACCAGTCGATCGTATTCCTCGTCAATGTTGTCAACAATGGCATCTTCCCATGTTGCCGCAATAGTACCAAAGAGTTCCCAGTTGGTGGTCATTCTGGGAGTTCTCTTTTTGAACTTTGCAGCCCTTTCTTAGTATTCCGCCCGCACGGAAGAGCCTGGCAAGCTATCCGCTGTGTATTCGATATGCCAAAACCAGTAACTACAACTGGTCTCATTCACCTGACCCTGAAGGCTTCACCGACATGGCAGCACTGAGAAGGATGAGAAAGGAGAGGCCGACAAAACCTCAAGGCCGACCTAGGCTGCCACAACGAAGGAAGACAAAAATGATCGTCTGTACTTTCAATGCACGTACGCTAGCATCAGATGCATCCATCGAGGACCTGATTGTACAAGCGCGAATGATCAAGTACGACATCATTGGTCTGACCGAGACAAGAAGGCACGAATCTCACCATGCCGTTTTTGACACCGGAGAAGAACTGTTCCTCGGAACATGCGATAAAAGAGGTGTTGGAGGCATCGGTGTCCTTGTCAACACAAACTTGGCCAAGAGCATTGATTCATTCGAATGCCTAACAACCCGAATCGGACGTTTACATTTGAATAGATGTGGCTCACTGCCTGCAGTTTCTATCTTCGTTGTCTACGCACCAACATCTCATTATGATGAAAGAGAAATCGAGAAGTTCTACATGGAGCTAGAGAAGTTCTATAAAGAAGACCACACCTTCTACAAGATCATTGTGGGTGATTTTAATGCCAAGATAGGACCGAGAAGATCAGCTGAAGAACTTCACATCGGGACCCATGGCCTAGAATGGAACGAACAGGGTGAGAGACTGTCAGAGTTCATCATGTCGACCAAGACCATCCATGGTAACTCACAGTTCCAGAAGGCAGAATCTAAACGATGGACATGGGAGTCTCCCGGTGGACGATTCCACAACGAAATAGACCACATCATATTCAATCGACGGTTTTGCCTGACTGATGTCGCTGTTGTCCCAAAATTTCGAACGGGATCGGACCACCGTCTCCTTCGTGCAAAATGAAATGTCTATGCTACTAAAAGAGAACTCCAGTTTGTTTGCAGATTTTTACTTTCTCCTTCCCCCTTCCCTTTGTAGTTGTTGGTGGTGTGATGGCCAGGGATACACACACATACACGTTCTGTGGTGCTTGCACATCAAATGACAACGCTCATACACTTGGCTGCTCACCAAGCTTCACACTCCTTCAGTTGTGCTTGCACATAGGTCACATCCTAGCTGATCCACACATTGTGGTAAACGTGTTCAGTGCAGGTCACTCAGAAGCAGGTCATGCTTATTCAATCACCCATCTTTTTTTGTGATGCTCAAAGTAAGGGGAAAATTTCACTCCTTTTTCTAAGCAAGACTTTTTGGGTTTTAGTTTGGGGACACGCCCAGCAGTGCCCAGGGCTTACTCCTAGCTCTCTGCTCAGAGATTACCACTGCAAGAGCTTACAAAATCACACGTGGGGTGCCGGTGATAGAACAAGAGTTGGCTGCATGCAAAGCAAGTGACTTACCCACTGCACTATTTTTCCTGGCTCCTTAATTTTGAATAGAACAACAACAACAAAATAAGAAACCTTTAAAAAGAGAAGCCTTTTAGGCATGATTCATTTTTTTTGGGGGGGGGAATAAGGGAAGGGGCTTTTGGGCAATACCCAGCAGTGCTCAGGGGCAACTCCTGCCTCTGTTCTCATCACTCCTGGCAGTGCTTTTGGGACCAAATATGGGGCAGTAAACCCAAAGTAGGGGTAGGCCACATGCAAGGCAAGCAAGCTCCATTACCCCTGGATTGCCTGTCTGGCTCCAGTTTAGATTTTTTTGTTGTTTGGGGGCATACCTGGAAATGCTCATGGGCTACTCCAGTTCTGTGCTCAGGAGACCAATCAAAGCATGCTCTCAAGTCCTTTAAAGCTATACCCAGAGTCCCCAGGTAAGCATTTGTGGGGCTGGATAGTACTGCGGGAAGGGCACTTACCTTGCACATAGTTGACCCAAGTTCAATCCCAGGAGTGACCCCTGAGTACAGAGCCAGGAATATGACCGGAGCACCTCTGGGTGGAGCAAAAAAATGAAAGAAAAAAAACCCACTTTTTTTTTTTAGAAGTACTTTGAAGGAAAGATTAAAAAGTTAGCAACAGGGGCTGGAGCAATAGCACAGTGGGTAGAGTGTTTGCCTTGCACGCGGCTGACCTGAGTTCAATACCCAGCATCCCATATGGTCCCCTGAGCATCTCCAGGAGTAATTCCTGAGTGCAGAGCCAGGAATAACCCCTGTGCATTGCCGGGTGTTATGCATGACCCAAAAAGCCAAAAAAAAAAAAAAAAAAAAGGTTAGCAACAAGCAAAATTCAAGTTTAAAATTATGTGTAACACCCTAAGGCCGAGCCTTAGCCATGAAGGAACCCCGGAAAACCCAGGTACGAGGGACTCTGTGACTGAGAACTCAATGGGACCGGGAACGGAGATCCTCTGCCTATATTCCCCCTCCACCCCCAGTCTCTGACAACTCAGCAGTCACGTCCATAAACCACCCCTGGCTGGTGCCAGATAATCTCGTCATCAGCCACTATCTAGATGGCACGTCCTTCTCTTTGGAAGAGAGCATAACATGATACTCACCTTAACCATGCCGCTGACCCAGTGCCAGGCTGTTTCTCTTGGTCTGCCCCAAAGGAGGGCGGGTGAGACCCCTCCCCACCCCAAGGGACCCAGCCCCAGCAGCTGAAAACCTCCAGAACTCAATCGCCGCCCTGCTCACGGCCACTCTCCGCATGCTCGGGCCAAGCCTCACCCACGAGGGAACCTATTCCCGGACACTTCATGCCACACACCCTACCCATACTCCAAGAGTACCCCACCACATTCGATGGAGGTTCAATGTAGGAGGCAACCAATCTTAGAGGAAAATATGTGTTTTTTTACAGATAAATATAGGTAATATATATATATATAAAAGCCCACAAGGCTCAACTTCTAACAACATGTTACTGATCTCTTATAGAAGGGCTTAATGGCCCCTGGGTGGAATACAACAATCCTCACCCTCTTTCCTCTAAGAAAATTTTTTTTTAGCATTTTCAGCAGTTTTTCATAATAAGCAATACAAAATATATTATTTCGGTTCTGCTTTGGGGCAGGGATTGGGGTTTGGGATGGAAACACCTGGAAAATGGTGGTGGGAAGGTGTAATGGTGGTGGGATTGGTGTTTGAATATTAAATGTAATAAAATATTGTGAACTACCTTATAAAATTAAACTATTATAAAAAAATAAAATTATGTGTAAGTCCTCCACCCCTATTCACCCCATGTCAGGGAGTGAACCCAGTCTTAAAATTCAAATGTGCAAGGCAGATACTCTACCACTGAACCACATCCCTACTCACCTTCAAGTTCAAAATTAAGGATGAAACACTAGAGAAGAAAATTTTATCACCAAACATTGTATTATATTAAAAAATATTATTTTAAAATACTGAGGCACTAGAGAAATAGAACAGTATATAGGGCACTTGCCTTGCACATTGCCAACCCAGGTGTTATCCCAGCATTCTATACGTTCCCCTGAGCACCACCAAGAGTGATTCCTGAGTGCAGAGGTTGGAGTAACCCCTGAGCATTGCCGGTGTGGCCATAAAATAACAATAAAAACAAAGAGAGAAAGTAATAGTCTGAAGAAGTCATTCTGTATTTATTTTTATATTCAGAGTCAAAATAAATTTTGCAAGGTAACTTCCTTTACAGTGAAACTGTTTAACCAACAAAAAGAATAAAAACATTTTCCTTGAACAGATGCAAATCACTAATTTTATTTTATTAACTCATTAGAATATTTATGCTTAAATAGTCTAATGTAATGTATGTGTACTAAAACAAGGAACTTACCAATGAAGTTATTTTATGATGATTTAAAATAAACTATTTAAATTTAAAAAATTTATCTAAATCATGCTTTTTAGTCACACCAGCCATCTCCTTCATCAAAACTATTTCTTCATATGCAACATCTACTAACTCAACAGATGGGTTTTAAAAATTAGAAATGTAATTTTACTTTCAATTCGCTGACTGTATATTCAATCAGAGATTTTAAAAAACAATTTTAGGTCCAAAGCAATAATTTTAGGATGGTTACCTTGCATGTGGCCGACTCAGATTCAATCCCCAGCACTCCATATGGTCCCCAAAGTCCACCAGGAGTGACCTCTCAGCACAGAGTCAGGAGTAAGCCCTAAGCACCACTGCATGTGGCCACAAAACCAAAAGAATTAAAAACTAAAAATAATTTTTAAAATAAAAATTAACTTTAGAATATATCAAGACCACTGGCTTGTTTTTATGTAAGACCCTGACTGTAGCTACCATAGGTAGTACTCAAAAATCAATTAATTGTAGCTCTAAATCCTATCACATAAACTCCCAGGGTAACATCACTGCTTTTTTTTTCTCTTGTATGTATCATTACTGTGGACTCGAACCCGGTGGTACACAGAGGATGCTACTTTCATACTGTCTTTCTTTGTGAATGTCTTCTCTCTTGCTTCAGGTTTCCAGAGTAACAACTGTGCGTCTTCTCCTCCAGTTAGCAAAGAATCATCTTGCATATTCCAACAGAAAGAACGAATGGTAGCAGCATGCCCTCCTTTAAGACTGGCCACATGGACCAATCCCGACATAGTGCAGTTCATTAAGTGAATCCTTCCTGTGTTTGTTCCTCCAACAATAAACAATTTGTCCATTTTTTCATGATACAGCCCACCAATCAAATAGTCCAAAGAACCTTCTTTCACGTTAATGACTTCCCTAACATCTTGGATATTCAAACATGTAAGAGGCTGATCAGTATCCAGATGATTAAGATCCCACCAATAAAATCCTTCATCATGTGTCATGCAGTAAATCTGTTTATAATCTTTCCCAGACCAACCAATACTACTTACTGATGACACCGAGTTACACGTTGTCACCAGGGCATCTTCTTCATTATCAAGACTAATATCATATATGTTCACCAGGCCATCAGTTGAACCTGAGACTACCATACTGGGGTTTCTGGGATGGAAACACACTTTAGTGATATCATCACTATGTGTCTCTGAGTAGGCACCAAGTGGTTCTTTAGTACTAGATGAATCCTGAGAATTCATTCTGGCATCCCAAAATACCAACAATGCATCATCATCAACTTTTTCCGTGCCAGCACAAACGACATGATCATTACAACTGATATCAAAACTGATAAAAATATTAGAAGGGTAGCCCTTGAACAACTGGACAGGTTTTTCACTGGCTAATCGAGCATCCCAACATTTTACAGTGCCATCAGTACATGATGAATACACACGGTCACAAGAATTTGCAAATTTGACACCATTAAGAAACCCAGGATGTCCACTAAATTCTCGCAGTATATTTAACCTTTCTTTATCATATAGTCTGACTGATCCATTAGAACATAAAACAGCAACCAAGCTTCCTTTCTCTGCCTGCACAGTCTTCGACGTGTCTATGTCAAGCAGATAAGTAGGCTCTTCAGTTCCCGAGGAACGTTTAACTATGTTCAGATTAGCAAACTGTTCCTCAATCATCTCCATACCAGGAATGTCATCCAAGGGTAGTTAAAAATCTGTAATAAAAGTACAGAAATTAAAATTAAAGCCAAAGTTTGTCTATAGTTGTAGTTAAACTAATACTTTCCTGTGATGCTGTCAAAAATAAATTAAAAAAAGAAATCTAGGGCCATGGAGATGGCTCAAAGGACGGAAGTACATGTCTGACATGCAGAGAACTCAGATGATTCCTGGCATCACATGATTCCAAATACCCAGACAACTGTTGTGAGAAACCCCTAAATTACGAGCCAAAAGTACTCCCACCCATCCCCAGTACCACCAGGTGTAACTCCAAAACCAAACTAAATAAAAACACAAAACACAAAACAAAAACAAAAACAGGCAGACTCTTTTGGATCAGCTAGGTAGGCCCAATGCAATCACCAGTGTCCTTAAAAGTGGAAGGGGTTGGAGAGATAACTCAACAGGCTAGAGGATATGCTTTGTACACAGGAAGCCCAAGTTCAATTTTAGGCACCATATGCCCTAAAGCACCACCAGGAGTAATCAACAAACACTGAGCCAGGAAGAAGAAAGAAGTAGCAATTCAAAGCATTAGAGAGGATTTCTGTTGTTGTTATTGTTGTTTTTTAGTTTTGGGGGGTAAGCCATACTTAGTGGTGCTCAAGGTTTACTCCTCCTGGGACTCTGGGACTATACATGGTACTGGAGATTGAACTTGGGCCACATACAAGGCAAGTGGCTTCCCCACTGTAGTATCTCTCCAGTCCATTTTTGATTTTGAGCCATGCCTGAGGTACTTGGGACTTACTCCTGACTCTGTACTCAGAGATCACTCCTGGCAGCACTTGGGGATCACAAGCAGTTCCAGGGATCAAACTGGGATCTGCTCAGGTGCCTGGACTATCTCTGGTTCTCAAGTTGTTAGAGAGTTAACTGATAAATGTGTTCAGCACATTTGGCCCAACAGAGTCATAGTTAACAGATGTTGTGTAAAAAAAATTTAAGAATTACTATTACTACTAAAACCACAGGGGAAGAAGCTGGATCTTATCAGAGCAGCTCCAAATAGCACAATTAAAACAATGGGCAAATACATTTAAAAACCTAGGTTTGGGTTCAAAAAGGAATAAGCATACTTTTCAACTTTTAATTTTGATTTTTAATAAGTTGAAAGACTTGAATGAACATACATACAGCTTTTTCTTTCATAAGTGCACTAATTTGGGGGCTGGAGAGAGACTATAGAATATAAGGTACTTACCTTGCACACACCCAACCTGGGTTCAATTCCCAACACCTCATATGGTGCTCCAAACACCTTCCAGGACTAAGCTCAGACTTAGGAGTAAGCCGGGAGACTTCAAAACAAGACAAACACAAAAAAATACTATTTGTTAACTTGCTTTTCTTTCTCTACACTGAGTTTCTTGGGGGATGGGGGTCACATCTGGAGGTGCTCAGGGGTTACTCCTGGCCCTGCACTCAGGAATTACTCCTGGTGGATTGGTAGTATCAGATATCAAACCCATGTCAGCCGCATGCAAGACAAATGTGTTACCCACTGTTCTACCACTCTAGCCCCTCTGCACTGATTTGTGATGAATCATTTCAAAGTTAATTACAGTCAAAATATTACTTCATTCCTAACTACTTCAACATGGAGCACCTCCTCAATCTTTTGCTCTTGTGGCACTGATTACTTTTTGAAAATCTAGGTTAACTGTCTCTGAAACTATCCCATGCTCTGGATTTTTCACTGCTTCCCCATGATTCTAGTTTACTATTTTTTCTCAGATATTTAGATGCTAGTCATTTCATACTATATCACTACATATAAAAAGGTATGTAACGTCAAGCTGATCACTTGATTAAAGATAGGAGTTGCCAGACTTACTCCTGGCTCCGGGCTTAGAACTCACTCCAGGCAGGGCTTGGGGGACCATACAGGGTGTCAGGGAGGGAACCCAGGTCAACAGCATGCAAAGTAAACACCCTACACGCTGTACCATGGCTCAAGTTCCTTAGTATTCATTCTTGCCTAAACCAATGGCCACACTAAGACTTGTGAACTAAGTCATTTTCAAATCCTATTACTCTTTCTACCTTATCTGCCATTCTTCTATAAAATTTTCCCTTCTCTGAGTATCACTGAAACATTACGATTAAAAAAATTTTGCCACAATCAATCCACAACCTTGTCATAGACTGAGAAACCCTTCCAGGCAGATTTGTACCCTTTTGAAAGTACCCCGATGCCCTAAGTACTATGTGGAAGTTCTGTGCAAGGATAAAGTTAAGTCTAAAAATAGTAAGTTTCCTTGAAATGATTATTTTCCGGATTATTCTGTGGTAGTTACTACCACAATTTAAGTGTTGATTTTCCAACAAGACTAAAACAGTCCTTCCTTAGACTTAACATGCCAGCTGCTCACTCAAGACTGCAGCAATAGCTGTTTTCTGCTGTAATCCTTTCCCTACACTTTTTGCATAACTTCTTCCTGATACTCAGGTCTTGTCACTCTCAGTGGTGCTTAGGGATCAAACCCTAGACTCCAGCCTGCATGGCATGTGCTCTCTCAGCTACATTTTCAGGCCCAACAAATGGTTGCTATCTAATGGATAAATAATTAATTAAACTCTTATGCATTAATAGCTGGAGAATTATAGCGAAAACAAAATACCAAACAGTATATTGTGTATTTCCATGTATTTGAAGGGGGATGCAACTTACGGAAAATTATAAAACAATGGTTGTCCACCCAAAAGGAGAGAGAGAACAAAAGGGAATGCCCTGCCACAAGGCAGGATGGGATGGGGGAGATGGGGGTGGGAGGGATACTGGGATCCATGGTGATGGAAAATGGGCACTGGTGGAAGGATGGGTATTTGATCATTGTATAATCGAAACCCAAGCACAAAAATTTGTAAGTCTACAACTGTACCTCATGGTGTTTCACTAATAAAAATTAAAAAAAAAAAACCAACAATGGTTGTCTATAACGGTACATTAAACAGGAACAGGAATGCAGAGGTTTTATGTTCATTAAGAAAAACACAATTTAACAGTAGATGTTACCAGTTACTCAAATATACTTACAGGGGATACGCTGGGACTAGAGCTATAGTACAGCAGGCAGGACATTTGCCTTGCATGTGGTCGAACCAGGTTCGATTCCCAGCATCCCATATGGTTCCCTGAGTACCACCAGGAGTAATTCCTGAGTGTAAAAACAGGAGTAACCCCAGAGCATAACCAGATGTGACCAAGAAAGAAAGGGGGGTATGGTGTCGCCAGCAGGTCAATCTGTACCTGTGAGGCGGGTGCATCAGCAGCCTGATGGCACCATCAGACTTGCAGATACCCCAAAATTGCTGCTGTGCCTTTGGCCAGACCCCAAAAACATGGGGCAAAGTTTACCAAGAAAGTAAACGGCCAAAAGTTAGGTATGTGGAGACACACCCACAAACCACCTCCTGCTCAGCTATATAATTAGAGGCAAGGCCTCTCTGGTTCCTGATCGAACTGCTTAACAGCCATAATCCCAGAGACTCAGAGACAAATCTTGGAACCCAGCAGCTTTTGGCAGAGATGCGTCTGGTCCCTGCAGTAGGTCACCTGGCCACCCCAGGTGGGAATAGGTTTTGTGCCTTGGCCTGTTCCCCTGGCAGCTCAGTGGCCGCCATCCTCCAGAGGCCACTGGGCAATCAGGTTTGGGCCCACAGTGACGAGACACGCAGGGCCTCACGGAATGGGGGTGGAGCCGGCCCTTTCCTCCCCACCCCAACGAGAACCCGAGTTGCTGTCCACAAATGGCCTCTCTGGCTCCTAATCAAGCTGCTTAACCACCATGATCCCAGAGACTGAGGAACATATCTCGGAACCCAGTAGATTTTGGCAGAAATCCCTCCAGATTTAATTAAAATTTTGGAATTCCAAAATTGCGCTGCCACTACTACAGCCATGCAACATCATATGTTATTCATAACCAGCAATAGAAAACAAACTGTCTACTATTGCCTTTTCGGCAGATCTGAGCGTTGGGGTAAAACCCCAAATAATAATGGTGGGTCTGGTGTCGAAATATTGAATGTAATCAAAGTAGAGAGAGAGTAATGTGGAAATCATCTGCCCCACAGGTAGGGGGAGGGTGTGGGATGGGGTTTATACTGGGGTTTTTGGTGGTGGAAAATGGGCACTGGTGAAGGGACGGGTCTTTAATTGTATAACCGAGATTTAAACCCGAAAGCTCTCACAGTGATTCAATAAATAAAATTATAAAAAGGAAAAATAAAGTAAGGTGGAGTTCATGCCCAATTCAATCAGCCTAATCAATAGCTGAATAAATAGCAATAGTCCTACATAAAAAAAAAGAAAGAAAAGAAAAGAAAAAAGGGGGATACTCCAAGGAATAAGCCCCTCTTTTTCTTCCCATGCTGGAGGATCCCAGATGGAGGGGTAGTCAGGATCATTTCGGAGCATACAGGTGGTACAAGGTTAAAAATTCGTGATCAGTGTGTGTGGGCCAGAGAAATAGTACAGAGGATAGGGTGTTTGCCTTGTACATGGCTTATCTGGGTTCAATTCCCAGCATGTCATATACAAAGAATATTTCTTGAGCAGAGTGGGGAATATGCCCTAAGCACCAGCAGGTATGGCCCCAAAACAAACAAAAAAAAATTTATGACCAGGGCCTGAGAGAGAATACAGTGGTTAAGACACTTGCTTTGCATGCATTCAATTCTCAGCACATCATGGTCTGCAGAGGACCAACAGGAGGAACCGCAGAGCATTTTTGGGTATGGAAAAAAAAAAAAAACCTACCAAAATAAATAAATACATGGACTCATGGTTATCCTGGGTGCTTTTAAGTCACTGAGCCATCTTTTGGACCCCAAGCACTTTTTATTTAATTAAGTTTGTTTTATCTATCTGTACTGGGGAGTAAACCCAGCGCTTTACATGTGCAAGGTAAATGCGCTACCACTGAGCTATAGCCTGGTCCTAATCACCTTTTATTTCATAAACAAACAACTGCCCATTCCTAAAATCCTATTTTAATCTGAGATTATGAAATCATTTTTTGCTGTTTCTCTGACATCTATTGATCTCTGCATATGAAATGTCCAACTGACGAGGTTCCGAATGGTAAGCGCTGAGGCAAGAGAGTACAGTGCTCCTTCTCCATCGTTCTGGGGCGTCTGTTTAACATTAGAACAGTCCTCAAGGTTTGTTTTTTTTTTTCCCCCCCTCAAGGTTTTAAATGAAAGGATTTGGGAATGGATGAGGCAGTGAGCCCCAGATGGAATGCTATAGCCATCTTCTAGCTCAAAACTGTGCTGGGAACAATCACAACACGACATCCACGTGACACACTGTTTAAACGGAGTCCAGGACTGAGGAAGGAGCAGGGCAGGCTGGGGGGAGGGAGAGAGATGCGAAAGATTAGGCACTCTCAAGCTAGAGGTTGTATTCTTCTGGAGATCCAACAGTAAAATAGTTCAATTTCTTGTGGAAAACACCCTGAGAGCCTTCAGCTTATATTTTAACCATTCATATGCATTGAATCATATTTGAAATAGGACTTTTCAACACTAGTGAACTCTCAATTTGATGCACTAACAGACGATTTCAAAATCAACATCTTTTTCCTTTTCTATACATGCTTCATCTGAGTTTCTTCTCTGATCCATTCCCCAGTTCTGAAAAGCAGCTCTTTCCTTCTCAAAGGGCAACCTGCTTTCACAGTCAGAACTTCAAGTGGCAAAATAAGCCAATGATCTCATCTATTTACAGAGCCATATTTCTGACTACCTGTTGATCATTTCTACTTGAATGAGTCCCACTTTACACCAAGATAAAACGAACTATGCTTCCTTCCTGTCCCAACAAGCCTTCCACTTAAAAGAAAAAACAAAACATCACAGGGCTGGATAGTCCCATGGGTTAGGCGCTTGCCTTGCATGCACCCAATCTAGGTTCAATCCACAGCATCCCATATGGTCCCCCCAAGCACCGCCAGGAGTATTTCTGAGTGCGGAGCCAGGAGTGACCCCTGAGCATCACCAGGTCTTTTCAGTTTTGGTCTATGCTATTAGCACTGTAACAACAATTTGATGAACCTGGTTATCTAAGCCAGGACCTCTGGATATCATGAATTCTCCTTTCCAGGCTCTAACCCAACCAGTCTACAAACCCACTTTGGGGTTGCAGCTTCTGGGGGAAGTATCAGACTGAAAACATTTCTTTTTTCTTCCTGACGATGCTTAGGAGTTATTTCTGGCACTGCACTCAGGAATTACTCCTGGCTGTGCTTGGGGTACCATATGGGAAGCCAGGGATTGAACCTGGGTCGGCTGT